CCTCAAGGCTCTGTCCTCGGACCCATATTGTTCAACATCTTCATTAATGATGTGGATATTGGAGTCAGAAGCGGACTGGCTAAGTTCACCGATGACACCAAACTTTGGGGCAAAGCATCCCACCTGAGGACAAGAGGGTGATTCAGACTGACCTGAACAGGCTCAGCAAGTGGGCGGACAAGAACCTGATGGTGTTTAACACTGAAAAATGCAAGGTTCTCTACCTCGGGAGGAAAACCCTGCAGCATCCTTATAGGCTCAGCAGTGCTACGCTGGCTAGTACTACAGAAGAAAGAGACCTGGGGGTCATCATTGACCACAAGATGAACATGAGCCTGCAATGTGATGCTACAGCTAGTAAAGTGACCAAAACGCTGGCTTGCATCCATAGATGCTTCTCAAGCAAATCCTGGAACGTCATTCTCCCATTGTACTCGGCCTTGGTGAGGCCGCAGCTGGAGTACTGTGTCCAGTTCTGGGCCCCACAATTCAAAAAGGATGTGGAGAAGCTTGACAGAGTCCAGAGAAGAGCCACGCGCATGATCAGAGGTCAGGGAAGCAGACCCTACGTTGACAGGCTGAGAGCTATGGGGCTCTTTAGCCTGGAAAAGGGCAGGCTCAGGGGTGATCTGATGGCCACCTACAAGATTATCAGGGGTGACCACCAGTTTCTGGGGGAACATTTGTTCACCAGAGCGCCCCAAGGGATGACAAGGTCGAACAGTTATAAACTCCTCCAAGACCCTTTCAGGCTGGACATAAGGAAGAATGTCTTTACTGTGCGAGCCCCCAAGGTCTGGAATAGCCTGCCATTGGAGCTGGTTCAAGCACCTACATTGAACACCTTCAAGAGAAAATTGGATGCTTATCTTGCTGGGATCCTATGACCCCGGCTGACTTCCTGCCCTTCAGGTGGGGGGCTGAACTCGATGATCTTCCAAGGTCCCTTCCAGCCCTAAAGTCTATGAAATCTATGAAATTTATGAAGTGCAGGGACACTAATACATGAGATACGGAGGCTGGCTGGAGCGTGGTAATTACCACTTGATTAATCGAGTCTGCTCTGATGCACTGTAATTCCAGTGTGCTGGAGCCGCCCCATATCATGTCTACAGACACCATCTAGGTCTGAGATTATGGCTAGCGTAATATTTACACTCCCGGAACAGAACCTGTGTTGCAGATAAATTGACGAGTTCAGATCCCTTAGGATGGAACTTTTTAAAATAACCACAAAGGGCTGAGTCACAACACCTGGATGCGTTTGATCAAATTTGCAGAGTTTTACTGTGATTCTTATGCAAAGCTTTGGTTAGACCTTATTTCAAAGGAAAACTTTAAGATTTCAGCTACAGTTCAAAAGGCAGATTAGAGCCAGGACACTAAAGCTACAATTGCCAGGTCTTTGCTTGTATTGGTGATCATAGTCTTTGCTTCCCTCATTACTACTGATAAGCTCTGGTTTTATCTCAATCCAAGCATGTGGAATCAGGCCAACTAAGAGTTTCATTTTACTCTTTGTATTAATAACGCAGGCACAATTTGAAATATTAAATATATATTTTAAATCATTGTAATTTTTTTAAAGCAGAACTCTGTCAGGTACTTGAAGCTACATTCACAGACATTTTATAAATCAAAACCTATGATATGTCATTAGATGCTTCCCCTTGATAATTCTTGATTAGAATCTCATAAACATTTCATTAACAATCTCTATAAAAATTAACAAGAGCATTTAGCTACATAACATAGGATAAAATAAATAAGCAGTGATCATAGTTTGCCAACCCAAAAATGTATCTGAATTTTGTAGGTTTTTTTAATTGGATAAGTGGGTCTGTTTAGAGTTATGCTAGATCTGTGGTTTAAAAAATGAAATCCAAGTCAGGTTAAAAAATATGGAAAGATTCCAACACATGCTGTAGATATACCACTGCTATGACTAAAAGACCTAGCAAGCCAAAGTTTGATCTCATTTATACCAGTGTCAATTCTAAGTCACTGCCCAAAAGCAGCTGAGGAAAAGGATAACCTCATGCTGTTCAACCAAATGGGGTGTGAATCTTAAAATGGCTATTCACATTTCTGAAAATGCTGTGCAAGCTGTTTCCTGGCATTTCTGAGACTTCCTGCCTTTAGTGGAACTAGAAATAGTGCAAATTTAGCCCCATACCCCACCCCAAGCCATAGAATGGAAATGAAGAGGGGTACATAAACAAAAGAAAATGGAGGAAAGAGGTTAGCAGAAAGAGAGACAATATACTTAATGTGAAAACAGACCCGAAAACTGTACATAAAGGGGAACCACTAGTGTCAATGCAGATCCCCTGCTATAAATCCACTACTGTATCTTTGGTGGAGACATTACAATTTACACTACTTGAGTTCCTAGCCCAGTGTGTCTCGTGGACAAATGAAAAAATCATATTACTGCTAGTAATGAAAAGTGTGCTTCTAAGTGCAGGAACTTCAATATTTCTCTGGCAAAAGTTAATAGGGTCTAGTTTCAAGGTGCAATCTGCAAAATAACTGAGTGTTCATACTGCACTTCAGCATCACTTGGGGGAAAATGCTGCATTACCTACAATAAAGTCACTACACTCTGTAGTAACATTATTGTTCGATGCAGTCTTTAGGTATTCCAATATAGAGAGTTTTTTCAGAGGAGAAGGGCAAATATTTATTACAGTTCATCCTTAACTTAGAATGTAATTGTTTGGCTAGGTTTCAAATAGAAAATTAGGCACAAACCTTTAACTAATGGCAAATGTGAATCCTTATAAATGTGTGGGCTTTTACACATATATCTCCTGCATTCAGAATTGAACATGGTTTTGTGTACTGTATTTCTCCCCTTGACAACATCTCTGTCATGTTTCAGTGAGCAAAGATTTTATTTTCCTGAGCAGCAAACTCATAAAAATGGGAGTTTCAGGAGGAAATAAAACATCTCTTGTAGTCATGACACAGAAGGCAGGCGCCTTGGTAAACCTTCTGCTAGATAACACAGAGAAAGTAACATTACTTGATAGCCTCAGTTGGCGTTAAGCAGAACTTTTATAGAAAACTTTCTTTGACCCAACAGCAACACAAATTGAGTGGAGTACTTTTACTTTTTATAGACTATACCATTAAACCTAAAAGAGTTCAACTGAGTTATATTAACAAATCCTCCCCCCTGATTTTTAACTTTTGTTTAAATGAACCTCAATATCATGCTTCCTCTAATTATTATATTAATATATCTCACAGAGTGACCGATTGCTTCCACGATCCTTCAAACTGCATAGGATTCATTTTTGAGAAGAAATAGAAATTCTTTTTCCTTAAGCTCACCTGATTAGCGGCTCTTGCTCCATTGTTGCTGAAAGACTGCTGCTTGCTTGACAAATGACACATCCTGTGTTGGTTGTTAGTTTTAAAAGGCCTTGCAGTTGGAGGAAGTTGCAATGGCTACGTGAAACTGGAAAATACAGGATTATGCAGTTCTCTCTGGGGTTTTAACTTGTCACCCAACTGGTATGTAATCTGCTAGGATCAGTTTGAGTTATTTTATTAAACAGCTGCTTATCAAATCATATTGGAAACCAGTTTGCACATAGCTTTTCTCACTGAATTAAGTCAGATCAGCAGAGCCTATTTGATTGCTATTACTGAGTGTCTCTTAGTGTCTGTTCTGCTCTGTCACTTTTGCCAGCGGTCACGAATTTGGGACTTTTGCAGAAGTTCCATTTCCTGTTGCAGAGACAAAGTTGGTAAGCAGCCAGGGTACGCTGTGCTATAATTAATAATCTGTGGTCCTGTTTGCCATGAGCAGCAGGTGTGGGAGGGTGAAGAATAGTACACACAAAATGTTGCGTGCCCTATCACCAACCAGCAGTTCGCCATGCCCTTAATAAGATGCCCAGTGATATGTAAATTCTCCCATTGATTTCAATGGAACAGGATCAAGCCCTTGATTTCTTGGGGTATTACCTAATGTCACATCTCTGGTGTAGCCCAGAAGCCCAAGCACACCCCACCCATCTGCTCTCAGTCATGCATACCAAATCCTTGGAGGCATCCTTCCATCACTGTTCTATAGGGTTAGGGATGGAAGTTACACATAAACTGGTGTAAGTGGTCAGAAACTGATTTAAACCTGTAACAGAACATAAGTTCAGTGCACATAAACCAGTTTCAAAATGGCTGAAACTGATTTAAGATAAACCTGGTTGAATGTAGTATTAGACTGAACTGATTTGTGTCAAACCAGTTTATGGCACTTCTGTCCCAGACCCCTTCCTGGTTTAAGTTAAATCAGAGTCCCCTCGCATCCCAGCATGCTTTTCAGCCCTGAGCTAGGCTGGGCTGTGCTGTCTGCTCCAGAGAGCAGGGTTGGCCCCACCCTCTCCTCCCTAATTGGAGCACTATCACTGCTTTGGCTGCTGAGGGGTTGGAGACTGCAGGCACAGCAGGGTCTGCCTGGCTTCCCCCTGCCCCCCCCACCCCAACTGCTCGCTAGGCAACCAGGGATTCCCCCACTCCCTCCCATCCCTCTCCCACAACATGGACGCTAGCCTGCATCTGGTCACGGTCATGCCACCCCCATGCTAGCTAATGCTGAGAACTGCCTGTATTTGTGTGTCTCTAATTTCACTGGGACAAAGGCAGACAGAACAGTGTCCGCTTAGAGCTTTTTCAAGTTAACCAGTAGGTCTGCTGGTAACATCCCTCCATTCCTTCTTTGCAAAAAGCTGGTTAAGAAGAGCTTGAACTAATGAGAAATGCTTTTTGTTTTCTTGATAAGCTGTGATAAGTTTTGTGTTATCAGCTCCCTGCTGTCCCTTGCCTGTCAGGTTTGCAGTCAGTATGAAGAAGCAGGGAGAGGAAGATTGAAAAATTCAGTATCATCAACAGATGGATGCACTGCATACCTCCCCACCACCTTTGCCTTGGAGTGCTAGCCGAGGCTGCGGTCTGGCAACACTACCTACCCTCTGAGCAGCAAGCCGGGAAAAACCTAAGACTGTGCAGGCAGGGTGGGGGTTTAAACCCCTCCCTAATTTGAGCACCCTGCCAGGGCCTGGCCATGGCCCCCCTCAGCTCAGCACTGAAAAAGGGAAAAGAGGGCTGCTCTAGTGCCCCCCGGCTTCTAGCCTAAGCCACTGCAGGCATGTGCCTGCATTTCTTGATTTAAAAGTTAATGTCTATCCACTTGCAAATCGGTTCAAGCTCTGCAGGTTAGACTAACCTGCAAAGATTCAATCAATTCAGGCTCAGGCTTTTTGAATGTCTGTCCCTGAGACAGATGTCTGATGTGCTTGGGAACAGTCACCTCTACCTTGGGAGTTTAGAACTAATGTCTCAACTAAAATATATCAGGAACACAGTCTACCCTTTGTCATTGGCAGGTGCAGCCCTTTCTGGCTTTGTGTAGACAAAAAAATAGTCTTTTTTTAAAAACTAAAATGAGCTTCATCCATCTAAACTGATCTGCTCCTTTTTCCTGCCACAGTCCCTGACAATATTTTTACATCAAATATACCTAGCTCTGACCTGTATGGTCTCAGTTTGTGGGTTTAGATGTTAACCCTTTTTTGAACAGCTGTTCTATGACTGAAAGAAACCTCAAACAGGTTTATGCTGAGATGACTTCTTTGCTAGTCCCCATTCACACAAAAGAAAAAGCTGAACTCACAGCTATAGCCACCATCTCAGTACCGTGACTGTATAGGGTTCCCTGAGTCAGTCACTACATTAGTGTTTCTGAGTTCTTATACATTCGTGATATAAATATGTTTCACTAATAATAATATCCTAATACTACTGGACTCGATCCTGCCTCTAGGACCTGATCCAATGGAAATCTTTCCATTGACTTTAGAGCTCCTCCATTCCAGGTCTAACTCTGTAAACTCTCTGGGTTATAGTTATTATTTGGTAGTAAACAACCTATTGCCTATACCACCTGAAAAGAAACAATACAATGAAGCCTACCAGATTCTCATTTATACAGGTCTAATCTCACAGAAGTGCAATTTTAAGGACCTTTAATGGTGTTATTCCAGAATGTGCCCCCATCTCCTGCTGAGTGACAACGAGCTGCACTTGTGTAAGACTGGTGTGTATGGCCCACTGAAATTCTCAGAAGCTAAAGAAAAAGGAATATATTGTTCCCAGTGCTATCACTACACACTAGATGGTGCTACAGAACCATAAATGATACAACACCAGAACTAACTGAAACTAACTTACTGAAAAGAGCTTATTGTGAAAATAACATTTTTAGTATATGTTTTTGAGTAAGTATATTATTACAACAAACTCAACATACTTTCCATTTACTGGTATAAATTCGAAGTCACTTTTGTGAAGTCCAGACCACTAACTCAGATTTCCACCCAAATCCGAATCTGCATGCCAACATCTGTCCCCCTTCTACAGCAGACTGAAATACCAACTTCCTGTACGCCTGTATAGCAGGTCGCTAACAGAGAGATGTTTTCTAAACATCCCCAAATTAAGGCTGCATATTTATAGTTGGTGAAGTGTTTCAGTAGTCACATGATTCTTGCAGCATTCAGTCACTGGATTCTAAAGGAACTGAATCTGGACAGTTTTTTACAGTGCATTTTTTACAGTGTTTAACATTGACTATTATAGTGGAAATTAATGAATTTTGTTACAGGAGTAATTCTGCAATAGAAAATGTCTCTGAAAGTGGATCAATATTGAGTAAAAAGCTGCCCCCCAAGTGAACTTTTCAGAAATATCTAAATAATTTAGCAAATTAAGTTCTATAGGGCTGAGTTTGTGACGTCCCTTCTGTATTTTTGAAAATGTTTCCTACAGTCATTAGCACTGGTTAGCTTATGTCACTTATTGTAGCACCAAGTTGTAGCTTATTTAGTCAGGGACTCCTTTTTGTTCTGTTTTTCTACAGTGCCAAGTACTGGGGCCCTGGTTCATAGCTGGAGATATTAGGTGCGACAACAAGGAAAAAACTACTTGATACCCTTTTGAATTGTTGTTGGCTGTCTTTAAGAACAAAGATTGAGTAGAGCTAGTTACCAGACATTTCAGCGCTATTATTGATCTACACAGGTCTGACACTTGTTAGCAGTATGGGAGGCAATTTAAAAACCATTGAATGTTTTAGGTATGTGTATATATAGCTCTGCTACACTTCTTCTTTCAACTATTGGAGCCACTTAAAATACAGAATAAGTATTAAATAAAGCAGACCATTCTGGTTATATTCCATGAAAAGGATGTGGAAAATAAAAACTGGATTCTTACTAGTATGTGGTTCTTCTGTTAATACAGCTGTCCTGATCAGTCTGTTCCTGACAGAAATGTTACTTATGCATAATGTATTAATATAGCATTTGCATATTAAAATCTATGCATATGTGTGTCTAAGAATCACATAGCATCTGCCCTTATCAGTTTGTTTCTGACAGGAATATTACTTACACATATTGTTCTAATGTGACATTTACATATTACAAAAAAGTATCCATATGTGTGTTCACAATCACATGGCAAGATAAGGTAGGATACAAGCACCCAGAAAAATCCAAGTCAAGACTGTTAAGTATGATAGACTGTGATTGTGAATGGGTAAAAACAGGCATTGTGGATCTTACCCAAGACCACTGAAGTCAAAAGAAAGACTCTTAGGGCGCATCCAGATGAGCGAGCACATGCCTCTCACGGTTTGAGATGTGGCAAGAGGCACACTGAAAACAAAAAAAACGTTCCCTGCACTACATATTTCCAGCACAGGCTCTAAATTTGATACAGGCAACCCCCGCTTAGCGCTCTTAATTGGTTCCTGAAAAAATTAACGTTAAGTGAAACCAAAAGTATTTGACTACCTAAGCTGGCGACTGCAATTGTTTTTAATGCCCCAAAATGGTGACCATGTGCGTTATAGCAAAACTCACTGAGCACCAAGTGAAATCAGGTATCAATTTCAAATGAGCGTTATAGCAAATTGCTCTAAGTGAAATAGCATTAAGCGAGGGTTGCCTGTACCTGGATTTCCACATAACAGCAACAAAAGACCACTTGCCTCCATCGAAACAGCCCTGCCTCAAGTCCTTTTCTGCAGAGCTGCTGCCCAGTGAGTCAGCCCCCAGCCTGTACCGGTGCATGGGATTGCTCTGTCCTAAGTGCAGGACTTTGCACTTATCTTTGTTGAAATTCATGAGGTTTCATTTGATCCAATCCTGTAATTTGTCTAGGTCACTCTGAATTTTACCCTCTGAATACTGTGGGGGCCATATCAAAAGCCTTGCTAGAATCAAGGTATATCACGTCCTCTGCCCTCCCCACATCCACAGAGCCAGTCATCTCACCATTGAAGGCAATCTAGTTGGTCAGGCATGACTTGCCCTTAGTGAATCCATGCTGAATAATCTTCATTTTAAGATTATTTCAGAATAATTTAAGTCCAGCCTGAATATTAGGCACAGACTCTACTATTGGTGATTGACTGATATTATTGAAGACTAGCTCTGCTGTGGATATGCATTCTATATCATATCATATCTACTGTTTCTATCCACATGCCATTTCCTGGAGAGTGACTAATTAAACCTTGCTATTAGCAAATTCTGAGGGTTTATGTGAATATTTTAACATTTTGTCAGTATATGAATCCATAGCCAAAGGGAAATTTGGTATCAGCTTTATTGAAGTGCAGGGAAGTATACAATGCAACTGCTTTTGATGCACTATGTGCAAGTCTACATGTCACTGTATGGTGATGTTGCTACTTCCCCTTGGAAGTATGAAAGCATGGTGCAGTATGGATGGTTACTGTGCCATCCGCATGGCACATGGTTAGATTTCACTGCTATGTCACCATAGCAGCACACTATACCAAGGGAGGGAGCACACCACTATGACAATGTAGCTGGTGATCACATGTAGACCCATGTCATGATTACATCACCGCAGTGTGCCTCTATGTCACCATAGGGTTATGTGTAGACACGCCCTATTAGT